TGTTTCTGTGAGGCTGGAGGCTATGCTACTGGTGTTTCAAATGCCAGCAGGGTTACCCATGGTGGACAAGTTTCTGCAGAGCTTCCAGACTAAGACAGACTCGGAAGAAGCAAGAGGCCAGCCACTTCTCAATTTGACCAGTGAAAACCTTATGGATAGCAGTGAAATACTGTCTGATATATTACTGGTCTTCCTTTAGAGTTCTGAAATGTGCTGTGTGATGTTTGAAGAGTCCCAAAACACTAAAGGAGCTTCTTTGGCCTAGCAACTTTCTTTTTCTTTTTTTTTTTTTATTGTGATTTGGGTGAAAATATACAGAGCAAATTCATGTTCCATACAGCAGTTCATACACACTTTGTCTCAAGACATTGACTACAATTTACCACAATGCAACAGCTCCCCTCCCACTTCCTGCTGATAGTTACTTCTTCCCTATGTCCATCCCCCCATGCACTCTTGCCCCTAGAGCTGTCTCCCTGTGCATAAACAGCCCTTCTTTCTCCCATGATTGTTTTCTCCAAGGAGTATATCTACCTCAGGTAAATGTTCAACTCATATGCCTGTCTTTTGTTTGGCTGGAAGCTACAGGTGTGGGTTCAATTCCAGACCAGAAGGGCAGCTAGGGGCCATCATCTCAGTGGTTCCACCAGGCTCTATCAGACAAACAGACCTGGTCCCTCTTTTTTTTCTCCAAATGATTTTGAGTTTTGTTCCACATTGTTCTCCCTCTCTATCCAGGATCTCCTACATAGATCCCTCTCCAAGTGGTTGACAGTGGTAGCTGGGCACCATCTAGTTCTTCTGGTCTCATAGTCATATAGGCTGCGGTTCACCTAGCAACTTTCTAATACATCTTCTCACACTCCAGTTTACTTTTGTCGAGTGTGTGTGTTGCTGATAGAGCCTGACTTGCATAGTCAGAATGCATACTTCTTTGTACCAAAGAACTTTCTTGAAATTGAAGTCAACTAAGAGGAATCACAGCTTTTATAAATTGTGAGGAAAGATATAGTCCATATCATTCTTAATTTGGATTAGGTATGCTGTGCTTATTATCAACGAGAATCTTAGAATTAAAATTCTGGGAAGATGATTCAGTTTACGTAAATACCTAATGCCTCTTTTCTCCTTTTCCAATTAAAATACTGATGAAGTCATTAGAGAAAGAAAAAGAAATTGATGCAGACACAGAAAATGACAAGAATTAATTATAGTTATTTAAAGCATACGTATCATCTTACATACTGATGAGAACAGATTCATAAATAGCATTTTAAATTAACCTAAGACCTAGGCCCTGGCAGAGGAATGACACATTTTCACAGTCTAAAATACTGGAATGGAATGGCAATCAGTTTCATTTTCACCAATTAATAAGGATGATGATGAGGATGGTGGTAGTGGTGGTAATAGGCAAATTCCCAGGCATTTTGTATGAATCAGTGCTCATTGTTTATTGTCTCATGTAATATTTATAAAACCCATATGAGTTAGGTGTTATTTTTATATTCATTTCACATATCAAGAAACTAGGGCTGCAATAGGTAGTCATACTCAATGTCACACAGCTACTAAAAGATGAATTGGGACATGAACTAAGGTCAGTCTGACCCACAGTCAGTTGTGATTCTGTACTGATATATTGATTGTAGTGCTGTACTGAGAAGTTTACAAGCCTTCTTTCTATAGGTGAGAGTTAGATGAGAGTGGTGTTTAGAGAAGATGTCACAGCATAGAATCCCTTATCTGGAAAAGCATACCTTTTGGCCAGGACAAAACCACAACCCAACCTGAATACCACTTCTAGGGGCATTCCCTTCCCAGGACTTGATGGAAGGATTTGCAGTTTGTTATAAATTTCTTATGGTAGTAACATCACTGGAGGAGAAGGATAGATTATACAATTTAAGTACTGTGTTTCTTAATGACAGAGGTAGGAGATCTACTCTGTCAGTAGGTCCCTGGTTGGTGCAAACAGTTAATGTGTTCAGCTGCTAATTGGAAAATTGGAAGTTCAAGTCTACTTACAGGCACCTCAGAAGAAAGCCTCAACAATCCACTTCTGAAAACTCAGCCATTAAGAAGCCTGTGGAACACTACTCTACTCTTAGAATTGACTGATGGTAACTTGTACTGTCAGTGATCCCACTCTGATGCATAACAGTTTTATGCCACAACACCTAGTAAGAGGAGAATAACTGTGACTATGATACCAAAACCACCAAACCTAATGCCACTGAGTCAGTTCCAACTCATAGTGACCCTATAGGAGAGAGTAGAACTGCCCCATAGAGTTTCCGAGGCTGTAATCTTTACAGATGCATACTGCCTCATCTTTCTCCCACAGAGCAGCTCATGGGTTAGATCCATCAACCTTTTGATTAGCAACTGAATGCCTTAACCACTGCACTACCAGAGCTCCTTGTGGTTACTGTGTTGTTGTTATGTGCCATCGAGTCACACCTGACTCATAGCAACCCCTCCTTGGGTTTCCAAGGTGATATCACTATGGAAGTAGATTGCCCAACCTTCCTTCTGAGATAGTTCTACCCTACCATCAAAATAAGAAAGTAGGGAGCTCTGGTAGCATAGTGCCTAAGGCACTTGACTGCTAACCAGAAGACTGGCGGTTCTAACCAGCCACTCCTCAGAAGGAAGATGGGGCAATCCACTTCCGTAGTGATACTGCCTTGGAAACCCAAGGAGGGGTCACTATGAGTCAGGTGTGACTCAACGGTACATAACAACAACAGGGAAAAAACAAACATAAGAGTCATAAATTTCTCATAGGTAATAGAAGATTTATATAATACCAAATGTCTTTTACCAGGGAAATAAAAGCAAGTATCACTGTGATGAAATAAAAATGGAGAAATTACATTCCATAGCCAACCCCCCTAAAAAATAATTCAAATAAACATTGGAAGCAAAATACTATATTTTATTGAGTTTAAAGTCCACATTTTTTCACATATTAGCATCTCTAAGCTAGGAATTCACCTTAAATGGTGGGGTCTTACAAATACTCTCTGCCAACAATAGTGGTAATGTAAAGTGCTTCTTTTTAAACATTGCCCAGTAAGATCTGGTCACCTACTGCTTCTGCGTCCTCATCTCCTGGAACTTCCCCTGTTTTCCACTGTGCTATAGCCAAGCTGCACTCCTTGTTCTTCCTTGAACAAGCTAGGAATGCTTCTACCTCTGAGCCTTTGCCTTTGCTTTCTCCTTTTCCTACTGAGAATCCCATGTCTCACTCTCACATTTACTTTAAGTATTTATTCAAATGGCACTTTCTCCCTTAGCCTTTCTCTTCTTATCTAAAATCACAGCATCCTCACTGTCAGCCAATCAGAAAGGGATCAGAATAGGGGATACTAGATAGAGTGGGAGAAAAATACGGAACAAAACAAAATTATAAAAAAGACCAGGCTTACTGTTCTGATAGAGACTGGTGAAACCTCCAAGACTGTGACCTTAGTGACCTCTCAAGCTTGGAACTGAACTCATTTCCATGGCTTCAGCCAAACAATGGATAGGTCTATAAGGTGAACATTTACACCAGGTATTTACATTCCTAGGAGCTCTGGTAGCATAGTGCCTAAGGCACTTGACTGCTAACCAGAAGGCTGGGGGTTCAAATCCACCAGCCACTCCTCGGAAGGAAGGTTGGGCAATACTACTTCCGTAGTGATACTGCCTCGGAAACCCAAGGAGGGGTCGCTGTGAGTCGGGGCCAACTCAACGGCAAATAACAACGACAACAACAACATTTACATTCCTGAGAACAATCAGCCAAGGGAGAACAGAAGGGCAGCATTTGCACAGGGAGATAGCTCAGATGGTAGGCATGCATAGGGAAGGAGGACACGGGAAAGGTAATAACAGGGAGGAAGTGGGAAGAGAGCTGTTACATTATGGAGATTGCAAACAAAATGTATAAGGAAAACAAATTGCTCTGCAAACTTTTACCCAAATCAAAATAAAAAAACCCAAATAGGTACAATTACAGCATCTTAACATTCCTCATGTCTCTTTCCACTTTATTTTTCTCATTTGTACTTCTTATCAACTGACAAGTTCCTATTTTACTTATATGTAGTTTGTCTCTACCAATAGTGTATAAGCTCTGGTAAAGGCAGGGATTTTTCTTTTTCTTTTTTTTTTTTTTTTTTTTGCTGGTGAATCTCTAGCTCTTAGGAGAATGCTTTGCACAAAGTCAATAGTTAATAAATACTTGTTGGATATATGAATAAAAGAATAAGTCAACGTATTTTGTGCTCAAATGCTGCTGGGTAAGGTAGAGAGGGAGTATAAATGTCACATTAACTATGTCTAATGGAGCATAGACTAGGTGTCAGGCGCTTGAGATATAAACCTACCTCTGTTACTAGCTATCAGAGTAAAATTTGGCAGATGAATCCTTTGGGCCTGTAGGTTGTAGTCTGTAATCTCTGTGGATATTATAACATGTCTGTTAACTGAGTTTTCTGCTAAAAAAAAGCAAGCCAGGAATCAAACACCCAAATGAATGAAGCCATCTCTTTTAATAATAATGTTATTCCAATCTTCCTTCTGAGGAGTGGCTGGTGGATTTGAACCACCAGCCTTCTAGTTAGCAGTCAAATGCCTTAGGCAGTATGCCACCAGAGCGCCTACAAATTATATTGATAGTGAGAATTTTAGTGGGAAAGAATTCTGAAATAACTTGTAATTCAGTTTCCTTTGCTTTGTAAGTAGTAAAACAAGCCCAGGGTTTGAGAGATTAGCCAAGGTTGTGAACTAATTGGTGACAGACTTTGAACTCAGCTCTATGTCTCAATGTCCAAGAGGGAGCCCAGTGTTCTTTTTATACTAACTAGTACATGCAGTAAACACTGGTGACCTGTTAAAAAATATTTATTCTTAAACTGTTTTGATATGATGTTCATTTTAGATTCAATGAAGTCATCTAGTGACAAGGATACATAGATCAGTTTCTCTCTCTTTGTGACCTAATTCAGCTTACAGAAGAGATTGGAAAACTTGAAGATAAGGTGGAATGTGCTAATAATGCCTTGAAAGCAGATTGGGAAAGATGGAAACAAAATATGCAAAATGATATCAAGTCAGCATTTACAGATATGGCCGAGGAGAATATCAACTATTATGAACAGGTAATTAGTACTATTTGATATGGCCTCACTTTACAAAGGTTATTTTCTCTTACTTTCTCTTTTGCTTATGTTGAAAGAGTCCATGAAGAAAGAAAGTGACACATTCAGAAGCCTCTGATGGCTCTGTGCCTTCATTTGGTTCTCTCACAGAAAAGTCTTGGAGTAACACAGACCTACCTACTGAAACAAATGTGTTTATGCGTTGGAAGAATGATTCATTTTCTTTCTGTACAGCATGCCTCGAGTACCTCATTTGAGCTGAGCTTCTTAGTGTGAGAAAGATTATGCTACCATATTTTATTTTGTTTGATTCCCTCTTAGTTACTTGTTTTGGAATGATTGCAATGGTGTTCTAGTATTTTCAAGTTCTTCAAAAGCGCTTGATAATGTTTCTTCTTTTCCCACCCCCAGCCCTCCATCTAAAGATACAGGTTTGCAAAGGGAGGAAAGGAGCAGAGGTTTGAAAGAGCCAAAAAATGGTTCAAGACCTATATATATGCCTTGTACTCCTGTCCTCCCCACCTTCTGTCACTATTTGAAAAGTCATCAGCATTAGAGTATTGCTATTCTATTAGCTAAAGACTAACGAGGTTTGTTTGTATGTTTGTTTTTTATAGTTTAGAAAAGGACATGGTCATCATTTTGCTTTTCAAATGATCATTTTTGATTTTTTACAACTAACTTTTCCTCAGAGTAGTTATTTTTTAAATGAATTTTATTATACCATCAATTTCCCCAAGAAGCTCTGATGACTCAGTAATTAAAGCACTTGGCTGCTAACTGAAAGATTGGCAATTTGAACCTACCAGTGGCCCTGTGGGAGAAAGATGTAGCATTCTGCTTCCACAAATATTACAACCTTGGAAACCCTATGGGCAATATTTACTTCCGTAGTGATACCGCCTTGGAAACTCAAGGAGGGGTCGCTGTGAGTCTGGTCCAACTTGATGGCACATAATGACAACAACACTCTTTCCTATTGGACTCTGTTGAGTCTTAACTCAACAGCAATGGTTTTTTTGTTTTACCACTTTTCTCCACCAAGCATATTCTAAACATATTTTCTCCAGCAAGTATATTTTATACTTCAACCATCTCTGGATGAATTAATGAATATATGAAATATTTAAATTGTAAAATTGTTTTATACTTTATAGTCTCCAGTGCCTGTCAGTTTAAAGATGGTTTAAACTGAAATAGTGTGTATTTTGAAAGATTAGCTAATTGCTATTTCCATTCAACAAATGTTAATAGAACACCTAAGATCAAGGACTCTAGAGGAAATACAGTATACAGGATAAACACCAGCCCTTTCTCATGTAGTTACAGTCAAGGGCAGAAACAGCCAGTTAAAACAAGTGGTCATAATAAAGTGTAATCAGTTCTGTGGTATGGAAACCTTGTAGCGGCATCTAGAAGGGAATGAGGGAGGTTCCCCAAAGGATATGCATAAATTGAGCCTGGAATAGTGAATAAGAGGTAGCCAGATAAAGATGTGAGGAAGAGCATTCCAGGCAGAGGAAATACACACACAGCAGCCTAAAAATGAGAGAGAACATGACCTAAGTCTTTTCTGGAAGGTAGAAGTGAGAAAATAATGTTGAGTTGAAGAGTGAGGCTGAAGAGGGTTTTGAAAGTTTAGTTAGTCTTTCCTCTTTCATTTGAAAGGAAGTGGGAGCCATGGAACAGTTTTCAGACGGAAGTGACAAAGTCAAACTTGCCTTTTAGGAAGATAACGGTGGTGAGAATGGTAAAAGACTAGAGGTGGTGGAAATGTTTTTAGGGGCTGTGGCAGTAACAGAGGCAGCAAAGTGGACCGACTGAGCTGTTTAATAGTAATTGGCTAGAGATTGGTGGTATTTCTTTTCAGAGGATGAGGTGGGGAATATCAATTTCTATCTCTCCTTTATTCTGTTTACACAACCCTAAATAAATTTAAGTATCTAAAGGGAATGTTTTGTACATCTCATATGTTGAAATGATTTAAACTTTTTCTTTTGAAAAAGACACATTTATCACCATAAGGCTTTCTAATAGTAGTTGCATACACCATCACAACAGTGGGGCAATATGGAGACATGGATTCTGGAACCAAGGTTACCATGTAGCTGTTCAATCCACAGAAGTAACTTTACAACAGTTACATTACAGGATTGTTATGACAGTCAGTGGACAATTCATAAGAAAATTCCTTGAAAATTAGAATATGCAACATACTATAAATGATTATAATTATAAAACATAAGTATATTAGGGTATAAAATCATGAGATAAATAAATCTAATGCATTTTCCTTTAAATTATGAGGTCTGTAAAACTTCTCTAAATTTGAACTTTTAATTTTTTTTTAAGAGAAAATATTTATAGCAATTCCATATAACCCCAACTAAAAAAAAATTACTTTGGCCTTAAACATTCCTCTTACATAAATGTCTATATATATTTTTAATTACACTTTTAGAGTTGAATTCATTTTACACAAAATACTGTTTTCTTAGGAAAAGTTAAGCTAGAATAAAGTGTTGTATCATGAATTTTGTCCTTTCCAGCAATGGTGCATGTCAGTGTGTTATGTTCTAACTCTTTCCTAGGTGAATTATATTTCTCAATGTTACTAAAACTATGTCAAGGGCACTGCATCTTGGATGTATAAACTTGGGTAAAACATTGGTTTATTTTATTATAACTTCAAAAGCCCCCTACAGCACTACTTACTTGATTTTAGAGTTTTTTGTTTGTTTGTTATTTATGTTTTTTATTCTGAGTAAAAAACTTTTAACTGATTTGGCACATGAGTTCAGTAAGGCTTAATCAGGAAGTTGGAGGCCTAGATAATCAAGTCTTCTTGATTAGTACACAGGCTGTAAAGCCTGAAACAGCAACAATCTGCTGTTATATTTTTTCTTTATATTTTATTTATTTATTTTGTTGTTGTTGAGAATATACACAGTAAACCATGTACCATTTCAACAGTTTCTACACTTACAATTTGATGACATTGATTACATTCTTCAAGTTATGCAACCATTCTCACCTTCCTTTTTTTTTTTTAATTTTTATTGTGATTTGGGTGAAAGTTTGTGAAACAAATTCATTTTCCATATAGCAGCAGTGCATACACATTTTGTTTCATGACATTGACTGCAATTCCCCATAATGTCCGCTGTTATCTTTTAACTTCAAAATAGTCCAGATATACAAGAAGTGAAATGTTCTCCCAGACTTTACCTTTATTTATTTATTTTTAATTTAGTCATATTCATACAGAGATACTTTTTTTCATTAACATTTGCATAGATAAATCCCCAAAGGGGTCTGCTCGTACTGTGATAGATGAAAAGAGGTATAAACGTTTGCTTTTGGATTTACTTGCATGAATTGAAATGGTCATAGCTTGTTTATATCTTAAAATGTAAATATCAAAGTAACAGAAAAATCAGAGTATAAATATGATCTCTGGGTCTGTATCAGACTCCAATTTCATACTGAAATGTTGCATGTAGATGTGTGAATTTACTTGGAGACAGTTGATAACAAATATAAAACAGATGCCTCCAAATAAACTTTGAATAAGTAAAATAATGATATACCCCTTTGCCCTATATGGTCAATAATTAAGAATAACTTTGAGACTTAAAAAAATAAAAGGTAACAAATCAATAAACCTAGCAATCCAATTGAATACAGGTGAATCATTTCAAAATATATCAATACCCAACTAACCGAAGGAGATTATTTTCTGCTAATGTGAAGGGATATTAAAACAATAAAGTGTGAGAGTTGGAAAAATCGTGTGGATGTTTTTTCATTGTTTTCTAGTATGTACAAAAGAGTATCTGTTATTTATTGTAGTTGTTGTTGATGCTGATGATGGTAGTAAAGAATGCTTGAGAGAAAGAGATCCTTGGCAGGTAGGGCAAATTAGAAAAGTGTTCTCATGACTGAGAAGAGATCACAAAATGTTGACTTTGACCAATCAAAGCAATTTGTAGTCAAGTAGTTACACCACTTTAAGGAATATACTTTATTCCTTTGAATAGTTTATTTTAGATTATTACTGCTGTTGGTTATTGTTAGCAGCCATTGAGTTGTACCCCACTAACAGCGACCCAGTGCACAATGGAAACACTGCCCGGTTCAGCATCATGTCCATGATTGGTTAGGTATCAGACCATTGTGATCCATATAGTTTTCATTGGTTGATTTTCAGAAGTAGGTCACCAAGCCTTTCTTCCTAGTCTGTCTTAGTCTGGAAGCTCTGCTGACACTTGTTCAGAATCACTGCAACAAGCACATCTCCACTGGCAGATGAGTGGTGGCTGTGCTTGTGGTGTATCGACCTGGTGTTGAAGCCTGGTGTCTGACTGCTGTTGTTGTTGTTATGTGCTGCCAAGTCTGACCTGACTCACAGTGACCCCTTCTTGGGTTTCTGGGGTGGTATCACTATATAAGTAGATTGCCCAAGCTTCCGTAAGAGGAGTGGCTAGTGGTGGGTTTGAACTACCAGCCTTCTGGTTAGCAGTCAGGTGCCTTAGGTAGGCTACCAGAGCTCCTGACTGGAAGGTGAGAAGTCTAATACTGAACTAAGAATTGTTATTAAATAAATCTAAGTTCTTGTTTCATAGTCTTATTTTTCTGTTTGTAAAATTAATACATGCTTACTGAACTAAATATAAGCAAAATAACAACAAAATCTAAATACACTAATGTATAAAGAAACCCTTAACACTTTCTCCTAGCAATGGTGTATTTAAATACAATTATAGAAAAATAACTTGCTATTTTAAGGTAAAAATATTAATGACTTAATTTCTATATGGGCTCTACTGAATGTGTCATCATAAAACATGTTGTTGTTGTTAATGTGCCCTTGAGTCAGACCCAACTCATAGCGACCCCTCCTTGGGTTTCTGAGGCAGTATCACTATGGAAGTAGATTGCCCAACCTTCTTTCCGAAGAGCAGCTGGTGGGTTTGAACCTCCAGCCTTCTGGTTAGCAG